TCCGATCTAGCTCCCTTTGGCTGATCGGATGGACTTTTGTACCAAATAAGAAGGGAAAATATCAACAGAAGCTAAGAGCCTCCCAGTTCCTTCCTGTGGTCTGTCCCCACAGACTAATCAAAGAAAAAAATAAGGCAGGACGTTGTGTCCAACCCCAAAGACTGGGGACTCCTGGGAGGGGAAGGCCCTTGTTCACCACCTGCCAGAATCTTCTTCCTCTGTCCCCACCCCATCCAGGACACACAGAAAGGGCTGTCCAGCCCAGCCCCGAAGTCCACCAAGCTGGGGAGTCCAATGCCAAGAGAGGTCCCAAGTGACTTTGCCGTGGGTGGGCCTGGCTGTCCCCAGCTTCCCCAAGGTCAGGGAAATTCCTGTGTCTCTGAGAAGCCTGTTGCTCATTTCCGCACAAAACATTTCAATCTGTTCATCATTTCTTTTCTGTCTCATGTTATGAGGAAACAACAAACACCCTCTCTAAATTCAGGCCTGCTCCCTCTTTAGGGCTGGCTGAAGTTGGGACTGGATTATGGCTTTAAGACTCTATTGGGGGGGACCAGCAGTTAGCGTAATGGCTATGTCGCTGGGCTCCCACGTAGTCGACCACAGTTCGAGTCCCCGCCCCAGTGCCTTAAACTCTCACCGGGCGCGTGTGCATGCATGCCCAAGATCCCGAGAAGAGAATGGAGAAGGGATTGTGGCATGGCCATCCCCCCTGGGGGGTGATTTCTCGCTTTCTGTCTCTCTGTCTCTCCAGGGAGCGCATGCATCCTATAGCAAAAATCTCTCTAAACACACACACACGCACACACACACACGCACACACACACACGCACACACACACACGCACACACACACACAGGGTCTATACATATGCATGCCTAAAATCCTGACAGGCAAATGGAGAAGGGACTGTGGTGAAGCTACCCTCCTGGGGGTACATTCTCACTCTCCCTTCTCTCTCTCTCCAGCAAGTTCACATACTCTACAGCAAATTAGAAAGGGGGAAAAAAAAAAACCCTCAAATGAATAGAATACCTGAGGTCCGAAGCTTCTTCCTCTTACTCATTTTTCTCTTTCCTTGGAAAAATCTGGAGAAAGCAAACAAAATCTCACATCACCATAAGCGATCCCCGTCCCTGTCTGAATCCAGTGGCCATGGCTGAGGGCAGAGTCTACCTGACCTCCACCTAGGCCCATCTGGCTGCCCTCAGGGGTCAGCTGGGCTCCAATGGGACACACAGGGTGGACACCTGGTCACGGCCACTGTGGGCTAGGTCAGCAAGAATTCAAACCCTTCCATGCTGTAGAGGGGCCTGCTCGTCTTCTGCCCAGGGTCGGAGAGGCACATAGTGGTGGGAGGTGTCCTCCCTCCAATGACCTGGAGCCCTGGCTCTAGTTTCTAGGTTGGAACAGCCTGTGTGAAGCGAGGATCCAGGGACACCTGAGGACTTTGTTTTCTTTTAGTTTTTGCTCTAGGGCAGGTGCACAAACCAGAGACGGAAACATAGAGAGAGGGAAATTGAGAAGTCACCTCCCAAGGGGATGGTCACGCCACAATCCCTTCTCCACTCTCCTCTTGGGATCGTAGGCAGGCATGCACACAGAACTGGTGTGATCTTCGAGTGGCCAGATACAGGAGTGGAAAAACGGTAGGACATGTGGGATCCAGCTGCCTTAACCTCTGCCACCAGCTGACATCACTTTTAAGTTTTTTTTTTGTTTTTTGTTTTGTTTTGTTTTTTGCTACAGGGCAGGTGTGCTCACGAGAGAGACAGAGAGAAGTCACCCCCCAGGGGGGATGGCCACGCTGCAATCCCTTCTCCTCCATTCTCCTCTCGGGATCTTGGGCATGCACGCTGGTGTGGTTTTCAAGCTGCAGGGTCTGGGACCCAAAGCGCAGTCAGCCACGTGGGACTCAGCTGTCTTAACCTCCACCACCTGCTGGCACCACCCTAGAGGACTTTCCAGGGGGCCACCTGAGGCCTACGGGGACACCCCGGACCAGGGAGTCGCCACAGGCTGAATTCTTCCAGCCCCGGAGACCTAGTGGCCAAATCCGCCCTGGGACCGGAAGTCGCCGAGATCGCTCTGTCTCCACCAGGACCCAGGTCCGCCCGTTTCCGCTGGGTTTAAGTCCCTGGAAGTATAGATTTGCCTTATTTTTTTCCTTTTTGAAAAAATAAAGAGCAAAGACAGACCTCACCGAATCCCTTATGGTCTACGGTCGGAAGATGAAACACTAGGAGACCCGAGGCCTGAGCGCCACACTAACGCTACCCTGGTCCCCTAAAAGTGTGGCCTCCTCACCCCGGGAGCCCAGGTGAGGCCTGAGCCCGTCGGTGCCCACGGACGCCCGGAGCCACAGCGCAGGCGGCGTCCCTCACACCTCCGAGCGCTCCGCTCCTTTCCCGCGCCCCGCGAGGCCACGCCCCGCGCAGGCGCAATCCCAGCACCGCGCCCTCACACCTGCGCACGCCCCGCCTCTTTCCGGGCAAGCCGCAGCACCGACCACCG